GTTGAGGGCGAGAGCAAAGATTTGGCCGCGCAGTTCGGCGGGGAGACGGAGGAGTGGGGATGAGATGGCGTTGCGCTCGGTGCTGGCGAAATCTGTTAGCTGACAGTGTTAAACAGCGGTAGGCTTCGAACATGTAGTCGCGATTTGGAGTCGCGCGGCTCGCGGTCCCATGCTTGGTGCGCTCTGTTTTCGAGGTCGACATCCTGGAGTTGTTGGAAACCGTCACTTGAGCGCAAGGAATCATGGGGAGAATAAGAAGCTGGAATGCGCGCTCTGGGTCAGTGCGCTGAGTGCAAACAAGAACGAGTGAATGGGCTTAAGTAGCATCACTCGATCAATGCGCTCACGCCCCTTTCTAGAATGTAAAGGTTGCTCGAAAAGAAGTTACGCTAGTGTCGTACAAAGACTGTCCAGTCGAGGTAAGCAGACTAAGAGTCTCTGCTTATGCTACAAGTAACTGCTCCCCTAGATCTCCAATACAGTCATCCAGTTGGTCGCCGGGAACGTTAGGTACCCCTTCGGTGTTCTGCTACCTACATATCTCAAACTCAGTTCATGTATAAGCTCGATTTGGGCAGGTGTTCGGCGCTCTAGAAAACTGCCCATAGACTTCATGCGAGTCGTCACGAAGACAAAGGTGTTTAGTGAGTACGGTAGAAGGGCAGTCTCCGCATACGTCTGCCGACAGACAAATAGAAGATTGGCCAAGTTCTTGGTCTTGGGCCAGGCGCCCTGATCCCACGTAATCTCTCCGTGCGTGAGAGCAAGGGCGAAGATGTGATTGCGAAGCTCAGCGGGGAGGCGAAGAAGAGGAGACGTGGCGTCGCGTTGAGAGCTGTCATGACTTGTTAGTCATCGTTACTTCATCTTGTCTGCGTATAGCCTACATCTCGTGCTCGGCGGTAATTGCATGAGATGCGATCGCAAGCTTGGCACTGCTGTTGGAAGTGGGATCTTCGACAACCGGGTTGGCGTGAGGCTTGGCGGCCTCGGAGTGCTTCTCCAGACTCGACATGACCTAGCCGTGACTGAGCTTCGAGTAGATGGTGCGGATGCGGACGTTGGAGAGGAAACACGTGAGTGATGGGATGGCATTGAAGTTGTTGGTGTTTACACTGCGTCCGTGCGCCAAGCGTGAAGCTAGCTGAAGGTGGCTGTAACAATACCTAGGTAAAGTCCAGTTATCCGCGAAACATGTCCAACCATCGCGTTTTCTCCCTCAAGATTCGCCCAAATCTGGAACTACAGTCATATCCAAAATTCGGCGGCCGTATCCCCTTGTGTACGTAGACACATCATCCATTCACTCGCAGACATGCGCTTGTCGCAGAGCTCGTTGCGCCGGGGCTTACGCTTTGCCCATTGTCCCGTCACGTTCAACATGAGCTTGATCTGAGCTGACGTTCGGCGGTTCAGGAATGTGGCTATACTGCGAGGGTGATAGCAATTGATCACGAACGAATTCAGCTTGTACGGAAGAAGCGCCGTTTCGGAATAGATCTGGCGACAGACGAACAGGAGATTGATCGGATTCCGGTGAAAGAATATGACCATGCGATCGCTTGAAAATGGGAGAGCGGAAACCAAAGTGTCGTGGTTGAGTGCGTAGGCGAAGATGGCGTTTCGAAGTTCCGCGGGCAGGCGGAGGAGGGGCGAGGCGGCTGCATTGCGCTCGGAGCTTTTTGCCGTGCGTTAGATGTAGGTATTGTGTTCTGTAGAGTGGCTTACATGTGAGCTCGCATCAGTGATGCTCGCCGTAACATCTCCCTGCTGCTCGCTGATCGCTTCCTCGGTTGTGGACGCATCGACATCATTGCGGTCCTTGGTTGATTGTAGAGCTAGTCGTCATAGATTGGAAGTTCAACTGCAGGTAAGTCGGGTGAGAAGGTAGTGTAAAATACCAGGAACGCACATCAGACCAGGCAGCGAACGAAGACCCCTCGAGTAGGTCCCTTTTTTTCAACAATGAAATCACCCCCGACGGTCTACAGCGCTTTGACAACGAGCGGAAATGCCTTGATGACTTAATGGAGAGGTCCTCGATTGCCAATACGACAGTGACTGCGAGTCTGATCATGAGGCGTGATAGTATACGGTATCCAACAACTTTTACTACGCCTTCCAAGAGCTCTTCGAAGGTATCCAGGCTCACGCATTGTAGCTTCATCGAAACAATTTCCAACCCGTAAAGTAGCGCAACCTCAGGTTGCATACCAAGCCGGCTCAAGCTCACAACTGGCAATCTTCTCCATCCACACCGTCGCCGCCCGCAATTCTTCATGATACATCTGCACCTTGTCCATCACCTGCATCTGAGCCTGAGTTCGCCTACACAAGAAATTCTCGAGAGCCACTAAGGGTATCAAGCCCCAAACACTGAACGTGTTAAGCTTGTATGGGAGGAGAGCAGTTTCCGCGTAGATCTGTCGGCAGGTGAATAGCAGACCGAAGCGCTTCCGGATTGGGTCTTTCCTCAACCTGCGCTCAAGCGAGGTCGTTCCGAGGTGGGGAGAGACTGTCCCGTGATCGAGTGCGTAGGCGAAGATAATGTTCCTAAGCTCGGGTGGGAGGCGGAGAAGTGGTGACTCGATGATGGCGTGCGGAGCGCCGTTGACGTCGGACTGTTCACTAATTCTCCGTGTCAGTAGGGGAGGCCCAAATGCGATGTACGGCTTTACTGACGTTTCGGGGCTGTATATCGGCCACATCTCTGAATTGGTCACGTTGTACGGATGAGTGATTTTGGAGAAGATGTGCAGTGATTTGCTGATAGTCATGGGTAGAACTCGGCGGGGGCAGGGTAAGGCAAGCGGCCTAGGTCAGTGCGCAACATGTGACGGCCAAGTAAGGCCGCATCTGGAGCATCGCATCCAGGAACAACTAACACTGTGACGCCTACGTTGACGTTGGTTTATCTAATTCGCACATTGGATTCTTGAGGTATGCTTCAGACATGTTAAGGCTGTTCCTTATATGTAGCAAGATTATGTAGATAAGGTGTAACCGTCAACATGACCTTAGGCTTTCGTTAACCGGTGGATCTCTTCAAAGTAGAACTTCAGGTCGTCCGGCTTAACGAACGGTGTGATACCTGCGAGTTGTTAGCACGATGCGACATATGATGCAACCCATGACTTGACTTACCGTGTCCAAGGTTGGCAATCCAGCCCTGCTTGCCGCCACCAAACCCAGCGACCATCTCTTCTACTACCTTCGTGATGGACTCTTTGGTACCGTACAAAACACCCGGATCGGCATTACCTTGAAGCACCTTGCCCTTTGCCTGTGCGATCTTGTATGCCTCAGCCGGCGCGTGGAGCCAATCGAGGCCGATGGTGTTGTATTTGGTGTCGCAAAGATCCGACAAGGCGTACCATGCGCCTTTCGCGAAGACGGTCATAGGAACGGGCTCGAGGCCCTTGGATTGGAGACGCGCGGGCAAGTTGTCGGCAATGTAGTTGAGGTAAGGTAGAGCAAAGGTCTTGAAGGAGGTTGGCGATAGCTCTCCCGCCCAGGAATCGAAAACTTGGATCATCTGCGATAGTCAGCATCGGACCGATGTGTTTTGGCAATGCCACGTACCTGTGCACCAGCCTGAACTTGAAGAGCCAGGTACTCCACGCAAAGCTCGGCAATCTTCTGCAACAGCGCCTTGCTCTCCTCGGGGTACTTGTAGATCCAGGTCTTGGTCTGGATGAACATCTTGCTGCCACCGCCTTCGACCATGTAGCACAGTAATGTCCAGGGCGCGCCACAGAAGCCAATCAGCGGTACCCTTCCTGCTAGCTTTTGCCTAGTCATCGTGATAGCCTTGTAGACATAGTCCAACGATTCGGCAACGTCCACCTTCCTCTCAAGGACCTCCTTGTATTGCTTGTCATCTGGGGTTTGCAGCGGCTCGGGGAAATGCGGACCCTTCTTGTCCACCATTATGACTTCCATACCCATTGCTTGCGGAATGACGAGGATATCGGAGAAGATGATGGCGGCATCGATGAGTCCTTCGTAGCGCTCGATAGGTTGGAGGGTGAGAGTGGAGGCGATTTCGGGGCTGCGGCAGCATTCGAAGAAGTCGTTCTTGCCTTTCGCCTCATGGTATTCCGGCAGGTAACGTCCGGCTATACAACGTCAGCTTTGATGATAGTTATTGACGATGTATGCTTACCTTGGCGCATCACCCATATCGGTGGGCGCTCGACCTTTTCGCCTGTTGAGTGTCAATATGCTGTTGATATCTCGGCCAGATAGGGCTATTGACCTCTCGCTGTGCGCAGAATGAGATCATTCTTCATGGGCTCGAATTGGGATGCCATCTTGTTGCGGATGGAGTAAATGTCGGACGTCAATGACATCGGCGTCGTAACTTTGTTCAAGCTCCGGATACCCCGCGCGTGCAGATTGGGCGCTAACCGCATCGAGACGCGTTCCTGCATCTCTACCACCGCGCTATCCCCACATCTCTCTGACGCCAATTCCGCCCGAGGATGCTTTCCAGACATGTCCGATGTTTGACGCGTCATGATCTGGCGTGCCGAAGAGCTTCACATCAGCTCAGCCAAAGGGTTTGCAGTACTGCTTCCTTGCCCCTACTTTCAAGCTCGACGCGTCCCATCGCGAAACCACGTGCAACATCATTCGTTGGTCAACCATGCTTTCCGGTGTCGCAATGTCGTGGCGCAAAGAGAAAGTCTGCCGCGACACTTGACGACCTCCAGCAAGGACCTTTGGAAGCCGAGGCACTACCACCTCAAGATGATGCCGAACCGGAATACCCTCCGCTGTTGCAGCAAGTGCGCAACAACATGCTCAAGTTCAGTCACTGCGTGCTAGTCACACGCGTCGGCGGCTTCTATGAGGCAAGCATGCAGCTCGTGCGACATGTCCAGAGCTAATGCAGGCTGCAGTTGTACTTCGAGCATGCTGACGAATTTGCGCCCTTGCTGAATATCAAAAAGTCCAAGAGGAAGGTTTCGAAGGGTAGCAAGAAGCCCGCCGTCTCCATGGTCAGTAGTCCAATTCGGCGACCTGTCATGACACTGACACCGTCAGGCAGGCTTCCCTGCATACCAACTTGACAGGTATCTGAAGATTCTCGTCCAAGACCTCAGCAAACATGTCGCTATTAGCGACGAGTATCTCAATGATGCACCGACAAAGGCGAAGGGAGAACCACAGTACACCAGGCGAGTGTCGCGCATCGTGACACCAGGTACTCTGATCGATGAACATTTCATGGACCCATGGGAGAATAACTATCTCCTCAGCATTTACGTCAATCCCGAAGTACTTACGCAAGAAAAGGCTGTGAAGGAGAGTCCTGGCAGTTCGAGTGTCTCTTCTGTTCTCAACTTACCCCGTACGGAGGTCGGCCTGGCCTGGATTGATCTGTCAAGCGGCGACTTTCTTACTCAAAGTACAGATATCGCATCCTTGCCGTCAGCGGTAGCCCGTATCAAACCGCGAGAAATTGTACTAGACAGTATCTTCCAAGAGCGGGATCACTCACGAATCGTTTCGATCATGCAAGAAGACGGACATGTCATCACATTCCAGGAACCCTCAGAAAAGCCGCTCACTATCGACGACTGGATACCCATGTTGGAAGACGTCGTGGAAGACTTTGACACGGTCAACTTCACTCCTGGTGAAGTCGCAGCAGGAGGCTCGTTGTTACATTACGTCAAGCATCAACTGCTTGGTTCACGGACACGACTGCGCGCGCCAGTGCGACATCAAGCCGAGGAGTACATGAGTATTGATAAGAACAGTTTGAGAGCGCTAGAGATCCGAAACACCATTCGCGAGGGTACTTATGAAGGAAGCTTGCTACATGCACTCAAGAAGACGGTCACCAAAAGCGGTACTAGACTGCTTACGGAACGCTTGTGTAAGTAGCAGCACACCAGTGAATCCGATCCATGGCTAACACATCCGAGCGGCGCCATCAATGTCGTTGTCAACTATCAACGATCGACTTGACCTCGTAGAGGAGACCATACAGTACCCGCAGCTCCGTCAGGACATCATCTTGCTCTTGGAGCAAACTTTCGATTCTTTACGATTGGTAACGAAGTTCACATATGGCCGTGGCGACGCGGATGACCTCATGGAGCTGTCGAAGACCATCCTTGTCACCTCCAGTATAGTAGACGTCCTTCACGAGCACGCAACCTCGAGGAACTCCATCCCAGTCGATACAGCTTCAACCACATCAGATATTCGAAGACGACAGTGCGTTTCTATGTTAGAGCGTCGATTCGATCTAGCGCAACCGCTTGAACTCGCAAACCGCATACAGCATGCGATCGACGAAGACGGCCTCTCCGAGTACCACCGCATGGAAAACGAAGAAGCTGAAGAGATGTCCGACTTGGCCCAGGATGTGATCGGTCGAGAGGCTGGAGAAGAGGATCTGAAGAGCTTGCCGAAGCGCGTTCAGCCGAAGCTTACCATGATCACTGGGAGCTTCAAGAGTGCGACCGATGGACGGGAAGATGTTCATATCATGAAGCGCAATGCTAGTGCGACACTTCAACGCCTTCACAAGAATTTAGACAAGATGACAGAAGCAAAGGCCAGCCTGGAACAAGAGATGCGTCAAAAGATGGGTACAGAAAGCCTGGTGTTGAAGTGGACTCCGAACCTCGCGCACATTGCTCACGTCAAGGGCAAGGACGCAGCTCGCGCTACTGCCTTTTACCCAAGAAGTTTGAGTAGCAGCAAGTCCACACGCTCGTTTCAGATCCCGGAGTGGACTTCACTGGGCGCGCAAATGGACGAGACACGGTTCCGGATTCGATCAGAGGAACAACGTGTCCTGGCCGAGCTTCGGGAAGGTGTCGTCCAGAACCTCGTGAAACTTAGACGTAACGCTGCCGTGCTCGATGAGCTTGATGTCGCATGCGCATTCGCTACACTCGCGATGGAGAAAGATCTCATCAGACCCATACTGAGTGCGGAGCCATCGCATAACATCGTCGGTGGTCGGCATCCTGTCGTCGAAGCTGGCCTCAGCGAACAAGGTCGCAGGTTCGCCCCCAACGACTGCCAACTTGGCGACAATGAGCGCATATGGCTCATCACAGGTCCAAACATGGCTGGCAAAAGTACATACCTCCGCCAGAATGCGCTCATCTCCATCTTAGCGCAGACCGGATCTTTCGTCCCAGCGGAGTATGCGGAGACCGGCCTAGTCGATAAGATCTTCAGTCGCGTCGGCTCAGCAGACAACTTGTACCAAGATCAATCCACATTCATGGTCGAGATGCTGGAAACAGCCCAGATCCTCAAAGAGGCTACGCCTCGCTCGTTCGTCATCATGGATGAGGTTGGGCGGGGAACCACACCTGAGGATGGTATCGCAGTAGGGTACGCCTGCCTCCACCACCTCTACCACGTCAACCAATGTCGGACGCTTTTCGCGACGCACTTCCACGCGCTCGCGGATATGACAAAGGTCTTTGCGAAGTTGGGCTGCTACTGCAACGATGTTCTTGAAGAGCCAGACGGCAAGTTCTCATACGTGCATCGGTTGAGGAAGGGTGTCAATCGCGAGAGCCATGCGTTGAAGGTCGCGAGAGTTGCTGGTAAGTCGTGCGCTTCGGAAGTGCAGTTTCGGCGATAGTCGCTTACGATATACAGGTCTCCCTGAAGATGCCGTCGCGATCGCAGCGAAGGTACTAAAAGAACTCAAGGGACGGACGAGCGATGCTGGGGTGGCTTCAGCAGTAGCCTAGCGACGACATTAGGTCAAGATGTAGATAGATGCAACATGACTGGGCGCCCGGGAGCTCACATTGCATGATACCAATCATAAATGTTAGCAATCCTTGTCTTGTAGTCACCAAACGAAGATGAAGTTTGGCGTCCTCTTCTGATGCAGTAAGCGTATGCTCCTGATATCCGTACCAATCTCGTGTCGCGAAGTACGAACGTGACATCGTTGACGAGAATAGCAACAGTTGGCAGAGGGGATGTCGGTATGGTGTAACTATGCGCATGCAGACCTCGGATCTAAACCGTGTTGTTTGTCACGGATTTGTGACACCTCGCTTGTATTGATGACGCAAGGCTTGGAGGCCTGGAATTCAGCGTTGAGGGCCCGTTCCTCTGCAGAATCACCACCACTTCTGAACGTGGGTATGCTGGACCATCCTAGGTCCCAGGTTTCGAGGATGTTGTCGCAGACATGGCTGATGTTGCCCCAGATGTAGGGAAACGCCGTCGGATGTAACGATAGCGCGGTAGCCGTTCTCGGTGCGGTACCAGCTAGTGTAATTATTCAGAGTCGTTCGCGAAAGGATCGGAGTAGGGTAGATGTGCATCGTGATGTTGGGTATGCTCGTCGTTGGAAGGAGATGGCGACGTCGAGGAAGAGGACCAACAGACGCGTTGGATATGAACGCGTCAATGTCATGTGGACGAATAGAATTCCGCGCTCATAACCTTGCACACCGGCTTCTCCGTTTGCACCTGACTATGCACGGAGAGTCCACGTGACATCAACATATCCCGCTTGGCGCTGTCTCCGCGTGGGTTTGGCGACACACATACTGTCGAGGAGGTTGATTGGATGCGATGCATACCTAGGTAGCCTGGCTAATGCGTGCCTGGTACAGCAACAGGACGACACAGGTCTACCTGGTTCTGCGCAAACATGTATGCCCTGCTTGCGTCTCTCTTAAAAGAGATGTGACAGCCTTGAATGCGCTTCTGGCAAACCCCAAATCTAACCCTCTTTGGCACTCGAATCCCCTTGATACCCACGAACATGCCACGGACCACGCTACTCCAGCTGCAATCAACCCAATCGCATCATTTCGGTTATGAAGCATCTCGCACATGACCCAGAAAAGTCCGACCTGCACGCGTCAACAACGCTATGAGATGTAACAGCACTATCTCGTGACGCCGTGCTATATGCGCGGAATCGCTCAATCGAGCTCTTACAGAGGGGTTGGTGCGACACGAGCACTCTACTTGCGGGAGTGATCGACTTTATATCGAGTGGGTGTTACATGAGAAGATGTGGGAGGACGTGGTCGTGCAGGATGAAGACACCCGCAGATGCAAGCTAGCATGCGAGGGGCTCAAATAGCTGATGAGCGCAGGATTGTCTGGTGGTTGATGAGATGTAGCGGACTGCGGGAGCAGAGGTTCGTCCTTTTTACCCCACACTTACCCGCCTGCACGCGTTAGGAAGGTGTCAGGGACGGCATTTCCTTTGTTCTCCACAATCTCCATTGTATCCGCCCTTACCCATCAGATCACCCCTTCACCAATCCGACCTTTTCTTTTTAACAGAAAAAGTAAACATCGCAATCGCGACAATCATGGGTGGCGCGCCCGTTACCCCACCATCGTCATCGCCGGCGCAGGCCCCGCCACCGCAGCCTCAAATCATAACATCGGATATCACACTCCAGGCGCCGCTTTCGAGGCGAGGGAAGGGGCCGGGGTTGGTTCTCGTGTTGAATCATTATGCGGCGAGGGAAGCGAAAGAGGGGTGTTTGGATCCGCCGCCGTTGAAGAAGTGGGCGGAGGAGGGGTTCGCGGTTGTGCAGGTATGTTGGTATATCTTGGTGAAGTGAGGATGAGGATGAAATAGTGGAAGATATCGCGTGATGAATAGCGAGGAAGGTATCGGCTTCATGCCAATGCTGACTACCCAACAGCTGCTGGTTCCAGGCAAAGTCGACGGCGAATTTCCTCTCCAGAAAGCGCTGGATGTATTGAAGGATTGTGAACAATGCGAGTTCGGCAATGGTGTCGGACTGATATGTGCGTCGACTCCCACTCGCGTCGCGTATGGTTACCCCAGCCACATACTGACGACCGTCTCCAGCATATCTATCAAGGATTCCCTACTATCTCGAAGAAGCTGCCTGTCAGAATCCCGCGATCAAGGCCCTCATCTCTTACGGCGGAAAAAGCCTTTCCACACTAAGCTCGACAGCACTGCCACCTCAACTAATACACGTCGCGGGGATACCAGACCCTCACCGCCGCGAATCATGTTCATTGGTCCCAGAATCATCCTCGGAGAACGCAGTGCCACTTCCGGAGAACATTGTCAAGACATACCGGTACGAGGATGCGACAAAAGATTCTGAATGGGTGCTTCCAAGCGACGAGCACTACCACAAGCGAAGCGCGGGCATTGCGCATACGAGGAGTCTGACTTTCTTGAAGCCGCTGCTCGGCGGCCCTTTCTTCGATCTGGAGGCTGTGTGGGAAGAGCACACCAAGTTCGAGTTCGGCGAGAGGGATGTGGAGAAGACGATGGCTACGATGGTGGATCAGCCATATGTCAACCATATCCCGACTATGACGTACGTATCTCTGAACCACCATCCTCCAATATCCGCATTGCGGGGGACCATGGCATACTGACCACCCACCAGCGGAGGCGTAGGCCAAGAGCGACTGACAGCATTCTACACGCACCACTTCGTCTTCAGCAACCCACCCGACACTGCCCTCGCCCTCGTCTCACGAACCGTAGGCATCGACCGTGTAATCGACGAGTTCATTTTCACGCTTACCCACACCAAAGAAGTTCCATGGCTACTCCCTGGTATCCCTCCCACCGGAAAACCCTTAGCCATTCCGTTCACCAGTGTCGTTGCTATGCGCGGCGATCGACTGTGTCATGAACACATCAGCTGGGACCACGCGACGGCGCTGAAACAATTGGGTTTGCTTCCGGAGTACGTGCCTTTTCCGTACAAGATCGAGGGCGCAGCGCCGCCGGAAGGGAAGAGATTCGAAGTCAGACTGCCAGTCGTGGACATGGAGGGGAGTAGGAAGTTGGTGGATGAGAGTTGTGAGGAGAGTAATGCGTTGATGAGTGGACGGTGGCGGATGGTTGACGATGTGTAATGGCAGCAAGGTTGTGCGGACGACGCCCGGCTTGGAGGAATACATCGGGACTACGTATCTATGGTAATACAAAGTCCTAGGGTCTCGCGGATATATGAACTCACACGCCTTCCTCATACCAGGCTCTTACACCCCTGACGAGCATCTCAGCCGCTGTTGGCGCATACAGATGATAAGGGGTCAACGCGTGACGGAATGTCGTCGTCTTCCTCAAGGCCAAGGAGACCTGGAAACGAAACGCAGCCTCGTGGAAGACATCCTTAGCCGGAACGAACTTGACAGTACCAGCATACAACCCAGATACCTTCGACACACTTTGCCATTGCCTCAGCATTCCAGAATCGCCTGGCCACGACATCACGAACCTCTGACCTCGGACAGCCTCCCTTATGCCCCTCCCATACGCCACGGAAAGCAGCGTGTCTTTCGCAAGTGGGTCTTTGAAGCGCCAACAAGCGTGGCGAGTCTGTATTGTCGCCGCCAGGTTCGATTTGGCGTACGCCAATATGCTGTGAAGATCCTTTGTCTTCGGGAAGACGAGCGGAGACATACCCCATTCTTTCCTGAGGACGACTTGTCGGAGGCAGAGCCGGAGACGTTTCTTCTCCATCTCGATGAGCCTGACGAACTTTCCCACATTCGTACATACCAGGATGTTGTGTCGAAGCTCGAAATTCGTCGCTTCGTCAGCGAATTCGCGATGCACTTCGTTGATGCGATTGATGGACATTCGTGAATGACCATCAGTGATGTACGCGACGAAGAGCAGCATGTCTTTCGCAAGTACGTCTTTGAAGCGCTAACAGGCGAAGCGGATCGTGATCGTAGTCGTATCGGCTTCGATGCTGTGCAATGGCTGGCAGACGACATCAGAGTCAGCCCGTATCCAGATCGATGCGCGAGGCAAGAATGCCACATACGTTGACTTTGTTGCTCAATTATGCGAACAGCAAACATCTCTGTAGGGACTACAAGCTTGTATCGGTAATCCTACAGAAAGCGGGTAGGTGGCTGTATGCGGCAACGTTCTATGTTTGTCTTACGTATGCGTCGTGAAACTTCGCTTTCTTCCTCAAACAACACCGGGATCTGGTGAGAACTCAATGAAAAATGTAGTTTCGCACGGCAATTCATCGTAAGCGGACTTGCCATTCGATGACGACATCAACACTGTAACGAAACGCATCCCAAAGGACACAATCATGAGCATCATGGCTGGGCAGTGACATGGGAGTTATGTAGCTATAAGATGAAAAGAGGCCGAAGGCCTGGCGAACATACGTGCTCCTTGGTCGCTTGAGCTTGCCGCATCCTGGAGTTGTCGGCGTGAAGGCCATGTCTGTACTCGACCTTGAGGAGAAGGGACATCCGTTTGAGGACTACGAGGTGGTATCTTCAATCGATTGAGAAACCTACATGTGTTTGTATTCCTCATACTCTCATGGTTAACGCATACGCTCACGGTAGTAAGCTGTCATCTTCCTCAAGCATCACCACAATCTGGTGAAGACTCAATGAAAAAGGGATCTTCTCATGTGACACAGTAATGAGGATCTGGGCTGGGGAGGGACCTCGGGCGAACATGTACCCGCGAGGTCTGGACACCCAGCAGGACAAAGCAAAAGAATCTGCTCGGTCCTGCCCACCTGACCGACGGGTAAGACGTGATGCGCCGGGGCATATTGTCGAACTGCCATCCACGCGACGAGTCCAGCTCATCGAGTTTTCAGTACACACCCGCAGGCTTCCCGAATCAGGGTGCTCAGTCTCATCGACGGTGCATTATCGTCGGACCAGCCGCTCTCATAATGTCGTCGGCTAGGGTCCTGCACGCTCGATATACGTGCGTTCTCCTGCTCATGCGAAGTGTAAGTGAAGTGGAGCCGGCCACTTGACTTTCCCGCACACTGCACCACCGCACGCTGGACGCGGTCGGATGCCACCAGGGCGAGCCACGATGCTGGGGTTCAGCCGACCTGACTCACTCCCTGGTGTCGATGATGTCTGAAAAGATGGAGAGGCGATTGGGGAAGTCGCAAGCGCAGTGCCTGATGTGTTAATAATAACTGTGGGAGGAAGAAAGACTTACCGCGATCTCGGTTCCGATGGAGGACTATAGAAGATTGATAGCGAAGACGCGCGTGTTGAGCGTGGGGCGTTGTCGAGTATTGCCCTGGCGCGGTCTGGTGCTGGAGGAAGATTGAGAGAGAAAGACAAGGCAGTAGATAGACGCACGGAGCTTGGACCATACGCTAAGGCGATCCAGGCAGAAGCCGGATATACCAACAGTGATGGTGAAGGTGAAGGTGATTAAGTAAGCGCGGCAGCTGCGTTCATCACGTGGAAGTGGTGTCACGTAAGTACAATCATTTGCGTGCGAATACAAAGCCGGAACGCGACTTCCAGGGTCGGTCGACTATAATGCTGATCGCGAGCGCAAAACGCTGATGGCAGCATACAGTGCTGGTGGAATACTGTGTGACGTTGTTGAAGTCGCGCAGAAATGCAGCGATCGGCCGGGTGTCGGCCCGAGCACGGAGCGCCGATGCCGCGCGCCAGTCCTCGGTAGACGCGCATCATGTTCACGACAGACCGTTCTTCAACACATCAAATCGCTGTCACGATGCCATGTGCACTCTCACTCCGGGAACGGATGGCTACCATATTACCGTTCCTGAATCGACAAGAGCTCAATGAATGCGATTGGCCCGGGTGGCTTGCGAGCGTCGAAACCCACCTGCCCAGGTGGGCAGATTCGAGCTGACAGTCAGGACCGCAGCCCACGGTCACCGCATTCCCGTTGTCTGATGACTGTGAAGGTGATTAGCTATAAGCCTGTGGTCTTAAGACAGCCCGAGAATAACATATCCGCCTCTAAACTACTGGAATGCCCGATGTCCAGTCGTCTACTGCATACATGCGCACCGACTTCAACCCAGTAAAACGTAGACCAGGTAATGTATACTGCTACCCACAAAGCGCAGCATCGCCTCCACGATGTTGCTCCATTGTGAGTGTCTTAGGCCACGAATCTCACATTCCCGGCTGACCGCACAGCGTCATGACGACATCATGGATGTCCCAACTTATCACCCGCGTCATGTCTAGACGATAGCCTCGCGTACCAAACCCACGATCATCGATACCGCAGAGATATCATTGATACAAGGCTCAGACAGCTTCCAATCACACCTGGACGCGAGTATGCCTTCCGCTGGGCTCACCATTCGCGACGTCACGCCCACCATCACCACCTTCTCCACGCCGTTCAACCGCTTCGCGCCCTTCGGCTACCGCAAATTTGTCGCAGTAGGCAATCGCGCAACAGCCATCCGATTGCACGACAACCGAGTCCTTCTCCTCAACCCCATCCAGCTCGAACAAGCGGTGCGCAACAAGCTGGATAAGCTTGGAGGCGTTGATCTCGTGGCGTGTGATCTTGGGCATCACATGTATGTGAGAGACTATATCGATGCTTGGCCAGAAGCAAAGACAATCGGCGTTCCGGGTCTGGACAGCAAGAGAAAAGACGTGGAGTGGGACTACATTTACGAGGACTGGCGGACAAGTCCGGAAGACCAGTTCGACTTCGTGCAGGACATCGAGACCGTACTGTTCGAGGGGTTCATCACATACTGTGTCGCTTGGTATCACAAGCCGACGAAGACACTGATACAGTCCGATCTGATGATGAACCTACCATGCACCGAGGTATGTCGCGCAATCACCGGACGCGTACGCCACATCGGACGCTGACCTTCTGTCAGCAATATTGTCCTAGCTCGTCGCACCAAGGTCCTTTCTCGCGCGAATTTGCGAAGCGCGCACACCCGCGATCGATATGGGCGAAACGCCTCGTTTACCACATTGCGACCGTTGACTACACTTTGATGCGACGCGATGCGAAGAGAGTAGTGGAATGGCAGATCGAGCGAATTATACCCTGTCATGGAGATGTCCTCGATACTGGTGGAAATAAAGCGTGGGCAATGGTGTACGATTGGCTTTTGACTGGCGAACCCACGCCGGGCCTGATGAAGAGACTGATGAGCCCCGTTATGAGGGTCGCCAGAAGGGTGTTTCTGATGTAAAGCCCAGACATGTGCGCTCAGTCTCTTGGTATGTGATCTGATTAACTCAAATACCAACGCCGCGGGGACCGAACGCATGTCGCCGGTCGTGACGTCCTCGTATCGTTGTGACGCCTTTGGATACGACAAACGCATGCATTGGAGAGCCATTGAATTGACAGCTAAGCAGATATAGCAACCTGGAGCCGTTGAGCCAGCTTCGTTCGTCGAGTCACGTCGACATGTCCGATTGGGACCGATGAGCAAGGAACCGGATGGTGAAAGCCCATGTTTGTTGCACAATGTGAAGAAAGTGAGGACGAGGTGAATGCGCTCAAGGTTCTAGAACCGCCCGGTGAGAAGTGAGAGTGAACGAGCATGCGAGCGTTTGTATCAAGACGCGCCCCCGCTTTATCGTCCTTTTCAACTTTCGCTTGCACAACAACACCTCTCCAGCTCTCTACTTCGCAATCAGTATCTCTCGCTCTTACATTCTCACTACTCTCCCTATCGCAATCGCAATGGCTCTCAACCCTGCCACGCTTACGCGTTATACCGGATACTTCGAGAACGACATATCAGCCGAGCGCTTCGCGATCACCCTCGATGGCGCCATCATCAAGCTCGCTTGTTTCGACACGGTCACTGGAGCCATCACGACCAGCTCCATACTGTCGATCGACGCTTCCACAATGCGCATGGGAGGCGGAACGAAAGATCAGGTTCTCAAGAACGCGGATCTGAGAGCGATTTGGCGCCTACATCCCAAGTACACAATGGTCATGTTCGCCATGCAAGGAGATGAAGTCGGCAGCTTCACGATGAACAAGGTCAAGTATTCGCGCTATCAAACCGGTGAGAGCGCTCTGCTCCAACTTCCTCCTGAGATCCGGCAAGACATCTGGAGGTATGTCCTTGATGACCCCGGTACCATAGCCATTTCAGTACCAAAGGATGGCAAGTCCTTCCTACAAGATCCGGCTCGCGATAATGCACCGTACAATCGCATTTCCGAAATCTGCAAAGAGTTCAGCAGAGAGGCCAGGTATCTGGAGATGTCTATCAACCATCTGCGCGTCGAAGAAGATCGGGGCCTGCATTTGGTCAGAGTGCTCAATCTGAGCGATGCATTCCTGGACCGCACGATGCGCACGGTCACGTATATGTCGAGTTGGGGTCCTGAACGCACACCTCGCCTACCAGTTCTTCATGGTCTGCTCAAATACGCCAAGAAGAACGAGCATGTCAGGATTGACATCAAGTTGGACAGGTGGAGCCTGGTGAATGCGAAGCCAATATCAATTCGGGAGGGTTTTGTTCGGTTTGGCATGGGTCTAAGCAAAGCCTTCCGGGGTGCGAAGGAGGGCTCAAATGACGACACAATATTCGTTGAGAAATTTTGGAGGTCGAATGCAAAGTTGGAGGAGGTAGATGCTCATAATGTGAGATTCTGGCCAAAGGATGGGGAGTTGTCGGAGAAGGACTGGGGTAAGGTGAAGTCCGCATGTGCCGTTAAGCCCTTCAAGAAGGTCATCTCTGGATACGGTGTCAGTGACAAAGAGGCCTTGGACAACCTCATGTTAGTCTTGAGGAGCTACTATGCTAAGGGTGCATAAGAGCCGAGGTATAGCATGAGAATTGGTATCAGTAGAAAATAAACATCAGTGGATACGTTGAGACCGAATTTGACCCAGATCAAACGCTTCGATATCACTGCTTGACACGAGTTTTCAGGATCGGGGCTGGTCTGCCAGGAGCGCCTACATGGCCGGCAGGAGAGGTATATGGTGAGTATGATAATCACGAAACTGGTGATGATAGAAGCGAAAGCAATGTAGATGCGGGTCGTGTACATCCCGAGGCCAGCCTGTGATTCATGTCAGTCGAAGCTTTCAGGTCTAGTGGGAGAGGTATACACACCGTGAGACGAAGCCAGAAAGCTGCTAGACATAGCTTGAGAGACCAAAGTAGGCATGCAGCGGTGGTCTAGCCAGCTACCTGGATCTTGGATCCGATGACTCTGAAGCTATGTTAGCTACGTGCGTGTCGGCACTCACGATATTGTCTTTGGTGCAAGGCGTTAGCTTCGTGTATATCTCAATTTGTACTCGGGGTCGTCTTGCGATGGCGTCATGCCATCATTTGCGAGACCATGTACGTGCACTCCTAGGCTGTACCTGAGGCTGCATTGGGCGGTGTGGATGAGCTTATGAATGGTCTATTAGCAGTGTGGAATCTATGAAGCATTCTGTGCTACTCACAATAGCAATCCATACTAGGTAGTCATTTACTTGTAGCTCGCGGAGGCCCACGTCGGTGATCCTGGCGTATTTTCGCAAACACGTGAAGGGGATAACGAGTGGATAGAGGGTCCATAGCTCCACGGTTCCGATAGCGTATTCTACAACAATGGTGTTGGATGATCGATTCACGTCTGGCCCATCACTCTTGAACTCAGGGTCGGTCGGTATAACCGCAGATTCAGAGCAAAACAGATGAAACTAAGTCTGTATCCGATATTTCCATAGCGTAGCCTACCTCGATGAGATGCCCGCCAACAGATATCCCAGTCACCCACATCACATCGGCCCGAAGGCATATTGGCACCTAATCTGATCTCGCCAGCGGATACTGTGCGAGGAGAGAGAGGAACAAAGCGGCGCAGTTCTTGGCTTGCCGGCCATAGATCAGAATCACGCTGAATACGAGCAATGCTGTCTTTTCTGGCTTGCTAGATCGCATTTGCATGTTCGCTTGGCCAAGGAGATCAACGCCTTCGATGGTCACGTTCGTGGTTCAGTCACGGGTAAAAGGTGCGCATTCAGCATTTGGTAGCGTCGTTGGCAGAACTGAGGCTGACATACATGCCCTTCGACGGATTTGTGAAGTACGATGGTGCAAGCCTTCCAGCAAGGATGTGGGTGAAAATGCACCTCCACTAGCGCAGAGGAAGCGGCTGTTGGCGTCTGGGCGGGCCAGGGCAACGGTGCGGCTCGCGGCATCTTGTCCGAGCCCCGAGCCAATCGCGGTGATGCCTGAGCCCCACAAACCTTTATAACGTGCAAGCGCGCAAGTCGCAGCGACGACAAGCTCATCGTAGGATCAGGTTCCCACAGATTGTGTGACCGAGCTGAATCCTGCGATGCAGCCTATCCCGCCTTTGCGCCATCTAGACCCTGACGACAAGCACGCTGCAGGACGGCCCGGAGATCTTCCTCATTGAGCATGATGCTTTTAGCCGACAGCGCAGATGTCTTCTCGTATTTGAGATGCTTTGAAGCCACATTCCAGGATGTTGGTAACCCACGGCCGTGTCTCGCATCCTGCTTGACACCTCCCCACTGGCATCATGTTTGCAAGAATTCTGGCACCGTTGGCTATCGCAAGCTCGTTTCTTACCATTGCGTCGGGAACTCCTACCTCACCATTTGACCTCTTCGCCAGAACATCCGCAGCAGGTATCGACGTGAAGTCATTAGCACCGTATCTCTCTGCTACCGCGAAGATTTACCTCCCCGATACGAAGGAGTTTGCTACTTACACCACCCGATGGTCCAATCTACAGGCTCCTACGCCGAGCATTGTGATCGCACCGGGTACGGAGAAGGACGTCCAGAAGATTGTAAGTTCACATGCAGGCGTCATGCGTCTGAACATGAGAGAGAAGAAACAACAGCTGATACGTCCACGGCAGGTCAAGTTTGCGAATGATCACAACATCCCGTTCCTCACCTACAATGGCCATCATGGGACGCTTACGACCTTGGCCAAGATGGACTATGGTATCGAGATCTATCTGCCGCAGTTGAACTCAGTTACCATTGCCAAAGACGGAAAGTCAGCGACTATCGGTGGTGGCGCCAACGTGAAGAACCTGACAGACACTCTGTGGGACGCTGGAAAGCAGACTGGTCAGCTTTCCAATTTCACAATAGACTCGGCCTACTTTAACACCACTTAGTCACTGGCTGCTGCGAATGCGTCAGCTATTTGGGACCAGCCCTCGGTGGCGGTCACGGATGGTTCCAAGGCCACTATGGTCTTATCACCGATCAGTTCCTTTCCATGAATATCGTGCTCGCAAATGGAGACTTTAAGACAATCGACAGCAAATCAGACCTCTGGTGGGGTATGCAAGGGGCTGGTCACAACTTCGGCGTCGTTACATCCGTTACCACAAAGGTGTACGACATCGAGCAATACGACTGGGCAATCGAGACGATCGTCTTCAGTGGTGACAAAGTCGAGCAAGTCTACGAGGCCGCCAATAAGTACATTCTTCAAGGTGGAAAGCAGTCCGCGGATATACATGACTGGACGTACTGGCAGAATGATGCAAGATACGATACCGAGGGGGTAAGATATGACCGTTGCTGATTGTACTACATTCGCTAACATATACTCAGCCGGTGATCATCATCTACATCGTTCAAGAGGGTGTTACCACTGTGGATTCCAAATATACCGCACCGTTCCACGACATCGGCCCTCTCGCCGCCACACCCCAGTCCGGCACCTACAAAGATCTCGCTAAGTGGACCGGCATCGCGCTCGAATCACCTCCATGCCAGGACTTCGGCTTCAACAACCCTCGCTTCCCTATCTACATCAAGTCCTACAATGTCACCGCGCAGCGCAAAGCCTGGGATATCTACTCCTCCGTCGTTGCCGGAGCCGACAACCCATACTACAACTCCATCTTCATGTTCGAGGACTACGCCAGTGGTGCTGTTCGCGACCGTAGCAACGATGCTAGCGCATTCGGCTTTCGCGACGCGCATACCCTCGCTGCACCTCTGATTATATACAATTCGACTGGAAAGGCGCAAGACGAGGCAGTCAAGGAGCTCGGCACGCAGCTTCGTGAGATCATTCGCGAGGGCACAGGGTCTAGTGAGCTACATATCTACGTAAACTATGCGTATGGTAATGAGGGGCCAGAGGCGTGGTATGGTCACGAGGACTGGAGGCAGAAGAAGCTGAAAGCGCTCAAAAAGAAGTATGATCCCAAGGGGAAGTTCAGCTTCTACGCGCCTATTGCGTAAGCTTTCAGAATCTGGACCTTGAGAAAGCAATCAAAATACATTACAAAGCCTATAATCGTGTTGGTTTAAGCCAAGTCTACGTCATCTACCTCTTGGTAGCAATAACGATGTAACTTGTATTGATCCCCGACAGAGTCAAAATACGCGACTCTCCCAAAGTCTCACTTAACAGTGACGCGTAGAGATCTATAGGTACGCCGTCGGCGGCTAAGGACAATATTGCGAAACAGTACAGCAGACTAGAGAGCCATATTGGATTTATTTCGATGCCAACTCCTCAGCTCGAGTTCCAGAGAGTCCTTTGTAGGAGTCTGTCACCCAACAGAGACGAGCCATGCCCTTTGGCCCACAATAGTACAGGAAGTGGCTTCATTGTAGGCTCAGGGATAAACTTGGCCGGCACATAGTATTGCCCTACGACACTGCTCTGTTTCGATGACTCTTGTTCTTTTTCGCGCGTTCACTATATCTGGTCTCACTTCCGCTTCCTCAGACTGATTGTCTCTTCAGCCGTTCCGAACCCAAACCTTCCCTCAATTCCCGGTACATCTGCGCCAACCAGTTCACCGTACCGTACCTTGAGGCTTCTAAGCTCCACCGGCAGCTTGTCTGTCTTCGTCAAGTCCTGTCGCAACACCAGCCGTTCCATCTCCGTGTTACCCCTCGTGGTCGTCATGATTTGCAAGAAGCCGCCATCCGCCGCGGGTGTACCGTTCCGACATAGTGAGTATATTGCTATACCAGCGAAGATACTAGCGACAAGGAAGCAGATGCTGTACGGAAGAATGAGATTGAGTGGGTTGGCGAAGGAGTATGTGCTCTGAAAGCGGGTGACAGTTACGGGGATTACTTCGTGCCATGTTCCAAGAGATATAGCGGAAAGAGTGATGTTTGTGAGCACGTTGTTGAGAAGCGTCTCTGTGATATCCAGCTCCTTTCTGGCGTCGTAACAGCCGATTAGTGACGCTGGGTCGAAGCGAGCGGGTTGGAACACGGTTCCCCGGAGCGGAGCCTCAGTAGAGGGGGGGTCTGCAACACAGGACATGAACGTCCTCCAATCATCGCATCTTTTCGTTGTCGTCTTATTATCTCGAGCGGTAAGCGGACCACAGCGAGATGAATCATGGTTCGTCGATTCCTCCTTGCCTACACCATCGAGCAAGATGCCGAGCGCATCCAATATTGCCCATTCATTGAACACCGGAAGCGCATCCAGAACCTTCGTGTTCCAATGTCGAGCTGCCTGGGGATCGGCGGGAATTGTGACGCTTAGTGCTGAGGATGTAAGCCGCCCTGGATAAAACTCACTAGCATCATACCACTTCTTCCGCATATGTTTTTCGTCGCTCAGGTAATACTCTAGCTTTTGAACTCCGCGCGGAAAAGTTATATTGACATTGTACAAGACAGACTTGGAAATGCAAGTCTGCTCGGTCGTCTCAACGTGAGCTTCATAAACTGTGATGTTTTGATTATTACGCGAGATCGAATAATCGCTGATATTGTGCTGTTGAACAGAGAGGGATAACGAATCTGTCAGCCACTTTGAGACAAAAACATCGCCGGAAAGCGCACGAGGATCCGTTTCTTTTAGTGAAATAGAATTATCGAACTGCGAAGAGTTGCATCGCAACTGCGGTCCTCGGAATTGAAGCTTATACGTTGAGTTTTCACCTGGGTTTTTAGGCAGGTTGAACACGTGATTGTCGATTAGGATAGATTGCGCAATGCTGCGCAAGGCTGGCATTGGTCCGCTATACCGGTTATTACTAAGGGATGCATAGACTCGTCACTAAACTACTTACTAGTATTCAAGCGTTCTTGCACTTTGCGAGATTTGTGAAGTCTTATTGTTAACAGTAGTGAAACTACTCCCTTGCCAGCCAAATCCGTCCGAAGCCAATGTTGGAAAGGTCTCATTTGCCGCGAAGTCTAGGTTGCGAGGAATCGGCGGATTCATCACAGCCATTTCGACCTCATCAGTAGACGTATAGGGTTCAATCGCAACAATCAGCGCTCCTGGGGGATATATTGTCGCCAATCCCAAACACCATACGGAAAGCGCCATCGCGATCAGTGTAGGTGATCTCCACGTGCTGCGCAAGTCGCACAATGCGAAGATGTTATTGCGGAGTATGAAGAATTTTTCAATCGTGTCAATCGGCATTGGGTTCCCACGAAGAACGAGCCACAGATGCTGCGCAAAGGACGTTCCAATGCTTGCCGTCAAGGCGGCCTTGAAGATGGTTGTTAGGAGGATGGAGACTGCGGAGACTTGCGGCTGTGTGAGATAGCTCGACTCAGTGAGCTGGTGATCTAGATTACGGAACAGGGAGTAATGCCCTAAGGCGGACAAAAGCGCTGTTCGAGTTTAATTCAGTTCATACTTGAGCATACAACTACGTACCCGCGAAGTTGAAGCCTATAATTATCCCTACTGTTTTCCAGTGCGTCGTGCATCGGGAGGAATCAGAGCGCGGATTCCTCTTCTTTCCTAAGCTAGCCGGGGTTGATGAAGTTGACACTGAAGAGAGAGAAGGTTGCGTTTCGCTCTCGTCGTCGGGATTTCCCACATTGTCAGGTGATTCTTGCTCTTGTACATCGGGATCGTGATGCAGTTGAACTGAAGAGACCGGCGGCGGTGCCTGATGCAAGGGGCTGATGTTGCCGTGCACAGAGTTCGAGTTGGCTCTCGACATTGTTCGCAGGCTAATCTCGTCGGAGATAGATGCCCTAGTAAGAAATCAGACGCAGAGTCAGATCAGAGATCATAGGAAGAGGAACAAGTAGAGTCCGAAAGCTGTGTCTTTACTCCAAACAAAACATCATCTTCAGGTGCTGCAAGAAGCCGCAAGGCTGAGTTTGCAGCGAATGGTTGGGATGACGCGTACGTGAGGCGCCGAGACCGGTCACCCCTCAACACTCCAATCAGACTGGTCATTTGTTATCTAACGTATAGTGTAGTGTAAGACTACGCCTTGCTGGCCTCAATATGGGGGCGAAGACCGGCTAGCGCCCCATAAGCGCGGATATAACTGAAGTCCGTTGTGTACCTAGGTAGGGGCGCTCTGCTGCTTCTGCTCCGAGAATACCTAGGTATGTAAGCGGTACTACCTTCGAAGCGACGCATTGCTTCACATCAATGCGCAGCTTCGTCTGATCAGTTGCCGCGTTGTCGCCACGATCGCAAAAGTTGTTGTGAAGGACGGACGTTGTCGCCACCGGCTCGGTGCTCGGACCACCTGGAAGATGCCAAAAGCCGGGCCGTTCCTGCCACCCTGCATCTGGCAACCGCCGCAGGTAGGGCTGTTATGGACAATATCGCACGCTGCACCCTTACGAAGCTACTACAAGATGCAAATGCCACCCAAAGCTTCGTTTCTCACCTGCGCCTGAGGCGCTTTCAGTCAGCCTTACACGTCCAATGCGCGGGGAGATTGCCTATAAGCAGCGACAATCGTCGTGGGACAGAGGGCCATGCCGCGTTCGAAAGAGACCTCGGAGGGCTGACGCGAATGCATCGGTACCGATACCCTTATCTGGAACGAATCAAAGGTAAAGCGACACAGATTTCATCAAGATAGCGAATGCATGAACAGTATACGGCGTAGAATCTCGCGCCCATGAGATACCGCCGCGTCAGGCCTACCCCGTGTTTCGATCTTCGCTTTTTCGCTCCTGGAGGCGACGCTTCGTTCAAAACGCTACATGCCGCCGATGACGCCAGTTTGTGTTCTACCTGGACTCATCCTCGCCGCATGCGACACTCAGCATGTACACCACTAATTGGGCCTCCAGCAGACATAGCCTCCGAGTCACCACCACGCCCGAGAACGATGCTGTACCTACTGTCGCAGTCTGTCATCTAATGGATACGAGGCGCCCTCCCCCTCGGCCCACAATAGTACAGGAACAGAGTCCATGCTGGGCTCTATGATACCAAAGAACCCTTCAAAGAAAACTCTCGTGCCGGGAGATGCATCCCGGTCTTTGCCCAGTGTATTAGAGGCGGCTTGATCGTCGTCCGCCCCGTGGTCGCTCATTTCACCATTCGTATAGGCTTTTGCCATGAGTATGTCTTCCTTGTGTGTGAAGAAGTAGACCGATAGTTGCTGGACGACGTCTGCAACTGTAACAGTACCGCCATCTGCTCTGGTAACAAGTAAGGGCTCTGGTCGCTGATAGCGACGATTTTCCTCAAACCCAGGCTCGTCGAACTCGTCATCACCGAAGCCTGTTTCAAGAGCTGCGAACTCATTGAGCTCGTCGATGCTGAAGGCTATCTTGGTGAGAGGAATCTCGGAAGCTGGTTCCGATGCGACGGCGTGACCGACAAAGGGTGATAGGTCAGTCTTTGGATCATCGAGAACGAGGATGTTGGTGATGTCCTCGAAGACCGACCAGCGGAGACGCTCAAACGCTTCATTAAGACGGATGGCTCCACGGGTCTTGGCCAGGCTTCCATTGAGGTTCTCGGGCAGAGGATCGGCAGCCATGTTGAGGCCAAACGCTGTTGTACACAATGCGAAGTGAATTTTGCCAGCATACGTCGGTAGTACGGGTGCGCGACGATGACCCACTCTGCTGCAAAGCGCTAAATCCCAAATAGGCTGCTAATCGGAGACGCCAAGCATCTACTACCCCACCCCAAGTTTAACCGCGTTCGTCCACGATGCGCCAAAGTGACACGAGAGCAGTCGGGAGCGCCGCTTCGTTTACGCTAGAAGCCAAACCGCCTCGTCATCAAGGAAGTATAACGGAACCTAGGTAGCATGGATACACCTGTTCTTTGCCATAGTTCCGAGGTCGGACCTGTTTTCTTCGTCACAGTACCTAGGTAGCGCCGTGGCCACCGCTTTCTCACATCAATGCCCCGAAATGGAAAGAAGCAGCCCTTGATGGTGGACTTGGTTTGGGCACATGGCCAAGCCGATGCGGAAATGCAATAGTACAAGCGGTCGCTTTCTTAAAGTGACAGTCCCCGCTCAATTTTCCAACGC